TGGGCTCAGGTGAAATTTTGGATAAAGCTTTAGTTTGATCAGAATGCAGTTTTTCATTTTCCATTTTTGTCTCATCAAGAAACCTGGCTTAGAGGAACATCCCTTGGCTGAGCTGCTAAAATATGTTCATAAATGATTCACTTGAACCTTTCACAGTCAAAAATGACACTGAGAGTACCATGGAAATAAATTTTTGAGGGTAGATGAGTCACCTGGGTTTCATTGCAAGTAATGATAAAAGCTGATTCTGTTACTCACCCAAATTTTACCCTGGCTGCCTAAAATGCTATTACTACATCCTCTGCAAGCGATCTGGCTGGATCAGTCCAGCCAAGTTTCTGGTTTAGGGTCATGTCCTAGATGAAGTAGCCTTGGTTTTGGTGTGTAGACCTGGAGCAACCTGCAGCTGTGTTAGGTGCAGCCCTTTAGCAATCTAGAATTGGATTGTGGTCTGAAACAGGTTTTGTATCTCTTCCAAAATCTGCCACCTACAACAACTCTATTATCTTGTGAATGACTCACTGAGCTCTTGTGGCAGTGAGCTCCACATCCTAATTAGGAGAACAACAACCTGAATTCTTTTCTTGCATAGGTTTCCTGTTCCCTTTCCCCCTTCTCTCTGTCATTCCTTAATTTAGTTGCCTTTCACCTGTCCCCACCTGCTTGTGCCCTTGGTCACCTTCCTTACTCCTCACATTTGCATGCCCACCATCACTCTGAACCCCTGCTGCATGAGTTGAGATACAGCAACCAGAATGGCACAAGGTGCCCCAGCAGCAACGACATGGGAGTTACAGAGCAGCACAATGAAAACAACATTGTTTGCTCTCCATCGTGACACCTTGCTAAACTGCTGACCTTTAGACCACAGGTGGGCTCTCACTGGAGATGTCAAATTGCACTCACTGATGAAGGCAATTAGCTTTGCTACTTGATCTCTGAGTACCCTGGGGTAGCCACCTTCATTCCTGAGCACATCCTACAGTGGCACTTAATTACTGCTATAGACATCATATTTAATTTCAAAAATAAAACAAGAATTATAACCTCAAAGAAATGAGGGAACCTCCTGTTACTTGTCCTGCACTGCATAAAACCTTGGTCCTGAAAAGAACTTGTAGCCTGATCCTTAGAACTCCAGCACTATAGAAGTCTTGAATATTTCTGAAACCACTTTTTCTGTTTCTTGACAGGAAATGACATTTTTTACATGCTTTAAATGCTTATTTTTGGGAAAAAAAAAAAAAAAAAAAAAAAAAAAGCCTTTGAAAAAATAACTTATTTCTTAATGAAGAAATGTGTAGTCAGACTTGCAGCAAATCTTTACCTCACCCTGTAAAAGGGTATTTAAAGACCTCTTTATCCTGGCTGTTAGAGATGAATAATATGAGCTATAGGAAAATGAAGCAATTTGACAAAAGTCACTCAAGAGTCTACTACGGTGAATGAAAATCAAACGGAGAATTAAGATATTCTACTGCTTTCTTGGTATGCTGTTGGCTCAGCCACCTCATAGTCATGCCACAGTTCTGCTTTCTTGTTTTAAATACAGTGTTTAGAAAATAAATCAGTTCTTACAGTGATGTGTGTGTGTATGTGTGTACAAGCAGGTATGACATGTATCTCTTCAAACCTCGCTTCCATGTTAAAACACATAGAAAACTGCTGTCTGCTGCTAAGTGCTCAGATACAGAACCATGATTTTTGCTGCTAACTGGGGTAAGGTTTATGCACAAAGCTACTGCCTAGTGAGATGTGCTCTTGCTTTAGCATTCTTCATGTTATATCTGCGAAACAGTGAATGGAGACTTCCACCCCAGCATGGCATGGCTTTTTCCTCTGTTACGAAAATGAAAACACAAATGCTGTTTAAGATGGCAGCTTTATGAAACAAATCAAACCATCCATTATTTGTTTTCAGTTCCCATTGTCAAAATTGGATCTGTCTGTGCTGTAACTATCAACCAGTCAATACAGTTAAATATTCATTTTCAAATTCAACAAATCATATAGGTCCATCATAATAATTCAGTGCTTTAGGAGCACGTATGCTCCATCGAAGGCAGAACCTCAAGAGAGGGCTCACGTAGGACAACTGAACTCATTTATCTGGTTTTGCTGGAACAACCTCAGCAAATATGCTGATTTAATAAACACTCTTTGCTCCTGTTGGCTGGATTCAGTATTCACCACAGGTGCTATTTACCTCTGAATTGCGTGACGACTACAAATCAGACTGAGGGAGAGGCACATTTTTGGATGATAGGTCAGTGTCTGAATGTCAGCAACTCATTTTGCTTCGCTTCATGCCTAAGTCTAGTCATGCTAACATTGACAACAAAGATTCGGCTAATAGATTTGCCACAGTATGGAGAACTTAGACAAGTAAGAGAATACCTACCAAATGCATCAAGGCCAAAGACAGATTAGCTCTTGGAAGGTGTTTGTCCCCAGTATTGCAGGGTGGTGGGTTTTGTTTGTTTGTTTGTTTTTGTTTTGTTTTCTCCCAGAAATGAGTTTACTACAGCTTGTTTTCAAACAGCTCTCATTTATGCTCTCAATATCTCGACATGCATGTGAATTTGTGCTGGCTAAAAGATCTCTCTCACTGGACATACATCTCGGGGCCACACGTGGAGCTGGGAGCAGCAGCTGTGAGAAGGACTGTGACACCCTTATTCTCATTATCAGTAAATTTCATCCTGGACAGAGAATGAATGGAAAGTGGTATGTAAAAATGCTTTGAGTAATGGGGAATAGCAAAGAGTAAAACATCCTAAGTGTTATGAAAAAGATAGAAATCCCATTTCAAGCACATCTGTAAAAAAGATAGTTACAGTATTCAGGTTTGATAGATTCAGCCTTGTACAGTGGTACATCAGCAAAATACAGCATTCTTGTAGTTTTAGACATTTACATAGATATAACTTTGTTCAGGCCAGAAAACTGAGGAGCTTTACTTTGTTTAAAAAAAATGAGAGCTTGAAACTTTCCATTGTGAACAGAGGGAAAAGAAATGCAGCTTCCTCAGAAAAGAAAACATAGATAAGAAAGTATGAGCACCTCCACCTGAGAACAAACAATATTCTGGAAGTCACTCTGTGGACAGAAATCAGCTGAACGTGATGGTAACACAAATAAGTCAGACTGTGCTTCCCATGACTCAGACAGCTTCTTGGACAACCAAATTTCTGAGGAAATAGCTTTCCCTTCCTACAGTAAATATCCTATTTTATATATTCAGCTAATTATTTACCACTCTGAAAATAGGTAAGAGGTCTTATGCATCTCACAGGAATGTTTTAATCAACGAGCACTGGTTGGTATGAATTTCAGTCCTTCACCAACCTGAATCAGTTCTGGTCTTGTTAAACCTTCTAGATGAATATACTGAGTTAAAGAACCTTTCCATGGAAAGTTTCTGTTTCATCTAACTGAAGCTCTTCCTTGGGATAATCTTACAGAATAACGATATACCTCTATTTTTTCATATATACTGCATGAGAACGCTATCTATTTTGGTGGCCAATTTGGTAGATATGTTTGGGTTAGACCACAGAAGAGCAAACAGCATTCTTCCAACTGCTTTTTCAGATTTTGCTTAGATGCTGTACACAAGGGATGGGTGAGAAATTCCTTTTGCTGTGTTCCCCCTACAGAGAGATGTTTTGTTTCCAACTCCAGGCTACTGCTGAAAGGAGATGAGAAACAAATCCTGGAAAATACTAAAATGTTGTCCCTAAAATAGAACCATCTACTACTAAAGTAAAGTGGCTCTAAATATCAGAAATTCTTTCAAAAGAAGTATAGAGTGTCTTGATGAGTCCATCTAATTTAACATGGAGTCACTAAAGGACTACCAGAAATAGAGAGCCCAGTCACTCTCACAAATGGACCTACTGTCTCACAAGATCTGATTTAGGGTGGTTTTATAACATCTTCCAAACTCTGCACAAGACGAGTTCTAACACACAAACAAAACTGACCAAAAAAAAAACCTACATAAATGTGATGGTGATCTTGATGTGGCATCAAGACATAGCATTTGCAAAACAAGTGACTTCCAGCTGTCATCACAAATACATAATTTTCCCTCCTAATTACGTCCCTGAGTGTTGTGCCCCAAAGAAGACTCCAAGACCAGGTGGGAGAGGATAGGGCTGATAGCTGGTAAGCACAGAGAATAGGACACAGGAGAAAGAAGGCAGGAGAATAACTGAGAAGAAGAGTGGAATTATTTGGGAAATCAAAGTGTAAGCAGCCTGGGAAGAACAGTAAAAGCAATAAAGAACTGCAGAAACACAGAAATGTAGGCTTCAGGGTAAGACACAAATCCCCTTTGTCTAAAGCAGATAAAGTGCTTAATTTCACAATATCTCTGCAAGTTCTTGGTCTCAAATCTCAGAAAGGCCATCTTGCTCATAACTAAAACGTATGTAGCTATGAAGTGAAAAAGGAACAGCCACTTGACCATGCAGATAGACTGCTGCTTAGGCACCAATATAAATGAAAATAGATTGTTCACCACCTATGAAAGAGTAGAAGGTAAGATTGCTTCATATATAAAAGTCAAAGCAGTTCATTGCAACTCTGCAGCTGTGGCAAATGAAGCAGACTTAGAATGTGCTTGTAAAAAAACCATTAACAATTACCAACTGTTTCAAAGCCATCTCTCTCCTCCTCTTTTATGAACGTTTCTTAATTAGATTACTTTCAAATGTGGTTACTAGTTAATGAGAACCTTCAAAAGAAAACAGGGTTAAATTGACAAAGACTGTAAAAAAAAATAACTTTTTTTTCCCCTTTTTAATCCTTTTTGCAAAACAAACTGGCGTTTCCCCTATTTTCCCAACTTATTTTACAGAAGTTAGCTGTCTCAGAATGAGCATGTGCAGACAGGCAAGAAGACAGAGTTTGGTACAAATATACCCACCCCGTCAAATTTTCATTCTCAGGTGGTCAGCACAGGCACATTAGTGCAGAAAAAGGGTAAATCCTACTTTAGCCAGAGTTTGTTACAGGGCAGTAAGTATTTATCACTCATCCCTTTAAGCTCGCTTTCCCAATAATGCAAATGCAGGGCTACCTACCAACTTTGTGTTGCCTGTTGCACATTTCTATGAAAAACTGTGCTCTTGATGCACATGTAAGAATTACTTAAGCTTCTTTAAACAGGTGCAGGTTGGAACTTTACTGACTAAAGCACACAGAGCAGGGAATAGAACCTTTTTCCCCTAGACACATTTTGATTGAAGGAAGCCCAAGAGGTATAATGCTGAGGAGCAAAGAAGACACTTTCTGTTACTGGAATATATCCTAAAGCAAGTGGCTTTGCAACAATTGGAGGGGGGGGTGGGGTGGAACAGTAAGGTGCATGGAGGCCATTAATTTGCCAGGAGGGCACTGCGGATATAAGAAACAGCAGGGAAGAGTGGGGCATCAGGGAAAAGTTAGAAAAGCATTGAACAAACATGATGAGCTGGCAAGGTATAGAAGGAAGTAGGGACAAAAGCCTAATTGAATGCTTTGAAGTTACATTGAGTGTTAGAAAAAAGGCAACTGGTTCAGAAGCCTAAAATGGCCTAAGTACTAAGATGGAAAAGTCAGTAATAGAAAAGGGGAAAAAAAAATCCTTGATGCAGCTTGATGGGATGAGGGAGAAAGAAGGAAACCAGCAGAACTGCAGGTTACAAAAACTGCAGATATGCTTGTGTTTCTCCAGGTATATCCTTTTCTTTCTTCTTCTTGAAAAATCTATCTAGACTTGGAGGGCTGTTACAGCATAAGGATTTGATATTTCTGGACTGTGCTCAACTTGGTAGAGGCACCAGGAGCTCCAAGGATCCTCCTGATCCTACAGAGAGCCCAGGTCAGTAGCACCACACAGGAAGCTGATCGTGCCCAGCAATGTCATTTTTACCATGCATGACTTGTGTGGTTACTGTGTGCTCTGCATGATGGATGTGACACTTCCAGAAAACCACAGCTGGAGGCAGGGTGCAGCATACAGCAGCTCCACAGCGCGTGGGCTTCTTTAGATAGGTCCTAGGAGGAGTCAGGGTGGGAAGCAGGGACAGCCTTGATCAGAAGCTAAGCGCAAGAAGAGGCAGGTATTATCTCATCTGTACTTTTAGGAGTTTGACATTACTCCCATTATAATAAGTGGGATAAAACCTGAAAAGAGTCGCAATGTGCAAGTGTCCCTGCGCCTGCACCGAGTCAAGGGATAAAAGGATTAGGATTCTCTGGGGAATGCCAGAGTTTTGTTTATTAACTTGGATGGCAGGGGAAGGCAACTGAGGGTAAGAGAAGTTATGATGGCAAAACACAGGAAGGGAAGACAACACAGCATGCCACTTTTCAGTGGGATGTTTAATTGTAAGGTAAGTCAAATATTACCTCTCAGTTTCAAGATTTTCTGTGCTTTCCTATGTATATATGTACACATAGATATATAGGTAGTCCTTCAAATGCTTAGATATAATTCAATAATTTATTAGAAAGTTCTTCCCTGGTACTTTGCATGTTTTACTCCCAAGACAGGAGAAAAAAAGGTGGAAACAAAACTGTTCTCAATACAAATCAGATCAGCCCCTTCAGTTTCTTTGTTATGGTAATTGGTAATTACGGGAAGAAAAAAAAAATTAATTTAAAATGAAGATTGCTCCAAGTACCTTCTCTACACGTGACCTGTCAGCAGCCCACCTCCTGGTGATATGTATACTGGAGGTTAGAACAGGTCACAAAAGCTCTGAGCAGCACCAGGCACCAGTCTTTGCGCCTGCTTTCCCCAGTACCTGGGGAAAAATGCAGGGACTGAAGCAGTACTGAGACCTGGAACAGTTACAGTGGGGACTCAACAGGAGGCAGCAATGTGGTGATGAGTCCCTGCCTGGTCTTCCTCGGACCTCATTTTTTCATAAATAAAGGAACAAAGGAAAATGCTTGATGTGAAAGAAAATTCCAGCTGGCTCTGGGTGCCTGACAGCATGTATAGGTATGCTGAAACAAAAATGCAGTCTCTCAGAAAATGTAAAACGGGCATTCCTGTGCACTCCATGATAGTGTGAACAAATCTGCCAAGAGGTAATAAATTAATGTCAGTAGTCACCAGCCTTAAGCAAATACACTTCACTGCTAACTGAGTGAACTACAATGCAGTCAGAAATCTGGTGGTACCATTTTATAGGACATTGCATTTTTCCCTAAAACTTCTAAATGTAAAGGTAGAAAACATTGCTGTGAGTTTTCAGTGGAAAATACCTAGCAAACATGCCACACCAATAGGAGATACTGCTAGCTGGATCAGAGCAAACTCAGGGTAAACTCTTATTTCCACTAAAAGCCTGAGTAGCATTCTATACAGATAATGTAAGAAAATTTAACAAAATCTTCCATTATCAAGACTTTCTAGAGTGCAGCAAACCGTTCATTGTCCTTTATAGGTAATTTCTTTGTTCTTATATTGTTAAATGAGAATTGCATTGGTGTTATCGCTGAAACTTTTTAATCTTCTTTTGCTTTATAAGATTTTTAAGAGTTGTTTTAGTGTTCCTATTAATTCTCTCCTTTATCGTAAAATCAGTTACAGGATTGCACTCTCCTGCTACATATAATGAATGCTATGTGTTCGTGTAGGAGTTTGAGTCAAACCTAAAGGAATGATATGCGAGCTCATGTGGGAACTTCTGAGTGTGCTCTGGACATGAAAAAATAGCTACTACATTTCAGCTTTTGGTCCTTTGAGCCCCAGGTGAGAGCTGCCAGACTCAGAAGCTGAGGCTGAGGCTTTTCCTCGCCCCAGTCAGTGATGCAGGAGCGTGGGCGCAGCTGCCTTCACCACTTTCTGCCAGCAGACGGGAGGCGAGGCCTACATTTGGTTTCCAGCTCTGTAGGGTTAAACGCCTGAATTGACCCACGTGTGTCCAGTCACAAACTGAGCAGGATTCGGAGTATCTGGATGCTTTGTCCAGAACCCCCTGGGAGGCTGCTAGGAAGGGCAGCAGTCGCTCTGGCTGCCTACAGAGGCCCAGAGGCCACGGACAGGCACCCTCTGCCTGTGGTGCTTGCAGGCAGGTCAGATGTGCAACGTACCCGTGCTGCCTGTGTCTGCAGCTGAGGTAATGCTCTTGAAACGCACTCAGGCCACAGCTCATGTGGCACATCGTGCTTGTCCTCATACTTCTCCATACTTCTTGCTGGCTGGTCTTAAGGCAACCCCATTTCTGTGCCCTTGCTCTCTAGAAATGCGTGTTGCAACACACAAGCCTCAGTCCTTGCAAGCTTTTGCCATTTATCTGTGTGAAGGTTTATGGTATTTCTAAGGTATAAGCAAACACTGTGCATTAGGTCATTACTTTTATAGACTCTAGCATTCGGTGCAAAATCACATTCACACTTCATTTACCATATCCCACAGCTCCAGAGAAATCAGGACTGTTTGTTCCAAGCCACGTGAAGGTAAGTGAGAGCAGAGATGGAGGGGGCTGGCAGGCGGTGCCTAGGAGTATGTTAAAGGAAGTTTGCACATCAATAAATACGGGTATATCTGTTACAGATGTATCCGGAGGCTGCATTAAAAAAAAAAAAAGAGGCGACTGTACGTTTGCAGGTCATAAAGCTTCCTAAAGTTATTTAAGAAACATAACACTGAAATTGCTTCTTCTGCCTTCATGAAGATTGGGTGCAATGATAGACTGAGGAAAGCCATTGCCTCTGCTCAGAGACAACTTACACTTTCTAAGTGGCTCATGAACAGCTGAAGTCAACCCTGGTCATACCAATGAGAGCACAGTCAATAAAGATAATTGTGTTTGTTTAGCACAGAAGACTGGAAGTATAAATGAAGAGTACAATGGAAGAGCTTGCTGGGAGCCTGGACATCTTTTCCAAGGGCAGTCCTGACATTTTAGCGTGAAAAAGTCATTATAAATTGTAACCAAAGGCAAAAAAATGAACTTTTACTCTATTTAAAATTTCTGGGAAACCTTGACTTCATAATTAATGATCTTCTCACTTGAGTCATGTTTGAGCATTTCATTTTGATGTGAAAAAAAATTACTTTTCTTTTCTTTTTTTGGTTAGCTTCATTACAGGTGTCATACTAAATGCAATGTAAATTCCCATAAAACACTTAGTGTGAATTTATTCTGCCTAAAATCTATTGTGCCTATTTTTGACCTGTTGCAAACAGGACCTCTTTAAGAACTCATCACATTCCTGAAGCCTGGTATCTTGTCTGTATATAATAGAGTTAAACTTAAGGCTTTCTGGGCAGTTTATTTACTCAGAGGGTCAGACTATTTCTCTGCAGGAGCACATCCTGGGAGAGAGAGGACAGATTATTGCTATGCCTTCTGTCCTTTTAGGCTTTCTTGAGTACTAATTTGCAACTTCTTTAGTCCCTCTTGCTTCCATTGTTTTGTTTGTTTGTTTGTTTTAGTGAGCATGGGGAAAACTGTTGTATTATGAAATAACAACAAGATTCAAGTGGGTAATAATCAACAGAGAGTAGCAATGTGAATATGTGCTTAAGCAACACAGCAAGAACAGCTTAAGTTCCACTTCCACTGTTTATATATCTTAAAACCCTAATGAACTTCCCAGCACTGTTTTTGGGACTACAAAGTAATTTTGTTCTGTGAGCTGAGTGAGGCCAAGCTGTGTGTGGGGACATCATACCACAATACATAAAGAAATGGTCAGAACAATAGTCAACAAAAGCATTCCTGCCACACAGCTTGCCAAACCACCAGGGTGTCTCCTGGAAAGACAACGCTGATTAGGTGCATCAGAAAACACCTCAGTGAAAGTGTTTGCAATGTGGAATTGGTTGTATTTCACTTTCAAAGAGTACCCAACTGATTTAAAGTGTTATTTCTTACAACATGTTAACATACTATTTTGCTTTAAAAATACATTAGATTTTTTATTTTTATTTATTTTTACAAATATATTTATACACTATTTGGATGTGTGTGTGCTTATAAAATCTAAACGTGGAGTAGTGAGACTTATTTTTTGACAATAATTTATTAGATTTTACCTTTCATTCTTTTACTTCTAGATTTGTGCATCTCTTGGGAGTTCCTTGAGCTTATTCAAGGACACTTATTTTCTTGACTTTTTTCAAAGGCTGTTCAAAGCCAGAGGTCCCTTCAGTTCTTGGCCTTGGTGAGCCACTGATGCAATGGCAGCAGGAGTGAGAGTCAGTTGCCTAACCTGGGGGTGTGATACCTCCTGAGATGTTTTTGCTGCCTACCTGGCTTCCAGCTGCTGCTCCAAGGAGCAGAGTTGCCGGGGATCTGTCCATGCTGTGTGGACCTCTCTGCAAACTTAGGGTGCCCGAAATGGCAGTAGGCACCCAAAAGTCTGAATTCCAGTTTGCACCCTTTCACTGAGGGAAAGAGTGGAAGGAGAAATACTGACATGGAAATCCAGGTGTCTTGCTGCTGCTGTCCACGCTGCTCCTTTTGCAGCCTTGTGGTTGCAGCTGCTCGATGGCTTTGCTTTTTCCTCTGATTACACTGCTGTTAGTGCTGCCTGTCAGGAGCTGCAGCCTCTCTGTTTCCTGACTGAGGAGTGCTTGTGTGTGGTTGGATTGAGCGAGGCTCACCGTGGGAATTGCTGCTTGGTGTTCTTGGTTGCCTTCCCAGCCTGGCTCCTCTCTGTGCTGCAGACACTGAGACCCAGTTGCTGGGGGTGGGAGGATGTGCAGCGCGTCCCTGCCACGCACACAGAGCAGGACTTAGGAGCCTCGTCTCGCCAGCTCACCTGCTGCAGGCTGGTTTTAACAAATATTCCCTCTTGTCCCATCTCTGGTGTCCTGTTATGATGCATCCCAGTGATGCTGGTGCTCCTTTAAACACGGGAAAATGCATCTCAGACTCCTCAGCTAGGGATTTTGCTGCGCTCTGAAACACAAGACCTTAAATTCCTCCTAAAACCATATTTCACTTCTGTGAGCAGTTGAGCCCTTTTCTACATTTCTTGAACCAGGAAAAAAAAAAAAAAAAAAAGAAAAAAAAAGAGAGAGAGAATTATTAGAAGTAAAATACGTTATTAAATGGGAGCTGGCATGTGTCAGGTTTATTGATGAGAACTTTCATAAAATGCAATATTACTTCATTCCCACCTTAATTGAAGATATTTTCAGCCTAAGTGATGTGTAACTGCTCAGTGATTTAGATCTCTTTTATGAATAATTATATTACATGTATTCTCTCTGGATATTTCCATTGATACATAGGATAAGTGTCTCTCATAATAGCCTGCAAAGGGTCAGGCAGATCTCACTTTATTGAATCCCTTTGAAAACAGCCTATTTTGCCTTCTTAAAGTCAATGGTTAAATTAATAATCACAATGAGAAACCTTTCAAATGGGAGGAACATTCCCTCTGCTTATGATCTAATTCCCTGGACACCCACTTACTAAAGATTTGACAGGAGTAACACGAAGATACAGCATTCACTATGTGGTTCGTTTTTTTTTTTTTTTTAATCAAACAAGACAGGAAGAATGAAGCCTTGTCTGTGTTTGAAAGCTGTATCGTGTTTCTGCCATTTCTTGAGGCATTCTTACAGAAACCTTTCAGTTCTCCCTTTCTCGTCTTCTGCAGGCTTAATGCATTAGAAATGGCTCTTCAGCGATTAACACAATGATGGTGAATTTTGCATGAAACATAGAAAGAGTCTCATCCTAACCTGTGTATTCATTAAATAACAAATTTCAAACTGTGATGAAAACAGAAATAATTACAAACACTTCAGCAAATAAAGAAATCTTCAAGAGCTATATTTAATATTAAACACCACACAAAAAAAAATTCCTAGGCAACAGGCCAAGCTGAGATTAAGCGAATCTTTTTTAAGAGGTGTTTGTAATGTAAATTTAAAACCAAACAGTAAAAAAACACTTTGACAAACCTTTACATTATTGCTACAATCTGCATCTAGACCCAATAAAATAATAGACAGGAAGTCTGCCAGCAGCCAAGCCAGGGGTATGCAAATGTCCTATTCTGCAGCTCACTGATAGCAGCTGGAGAGCTGAATTTAAAAGCACCACTTCAAAGCTTTTCTAGGAAATAATTGAACACTTAATGATTTTAAAGTTCCATGACAGCTCTAATGCCAAATTGTTGTTTAAATTAATATATTTAGCTAATGATCAACACATGTGTCTGGAAGGTGGTTCCCGGTGCCTGTGTGTTTGCGGTGCTGCTGCAGTGATGACTAAAATGAGGAATGAAGTGGGACACGGGGCTTGTCCCAGAACAACAGGGCAAGATGGGTAGGCGGTTTCCTCTGATGAGGCGAAAACTTCCCCTTTCAGGTAGCAGAGTCAGTTTGACATGTTTTTTTTTTTTTTTTTTTTTTTTTTTTTTGGTGACAACTGTTTTTGCTTCCAGAGTGAACGAAAAGGGCATCTTCAAAGCACAGACTCAGACTTAGCTACAGCAAACAGCTTTTTCTGAGGCACTGCAGGGTGATTTCACCTCTCAGCATAAGGTAAGGTGGCTGCTGCCAGTCAGCCAGCAGTGCCAGGATGGGGCAAACACAGGGACTTCCACCTCTGTGCCTGAGGTGCAGGGCAGGAGGAGCTCCCTGCCGAGCTGGCGTGGGTTGTATGGTGAGGTGTTGCAGCAGGGAGCCCAGCTTGTGCAAGGGGTGAGAGCCTGTCTGGGGAGGGTTCTCCAACAGATAAGTCAAGATCCACAGTAACTTCCACAGCTCGCTCCAGCAAATTGTCTCTCACAGGTTTCTGAGGTTGTTTCCTCTCTCCTACCCCCTGTCTCTGGTTTTTGAGACAAAAGAGCTTGCAGCACATGGATGGTGCCTCTGTACGTGAGCATACTGGCTTAACACGGCTTTATTCTGAAGTCAGCTAGCTCCCATTTCAAGTGAGAAATGGTAATTTGAGGAAAGAGATAAGCCAGGTAAGAGGAAGCAATCAATCCCAAACTCTAGTCCCAAAGTGCAGACTTTCCCCGTTAAAATTGCAGTTGTGTTTTCTCAGCGTTGGTGAGGACATACAAAATTTATGAGGATTCTTGACGGAGAGGTGAGGGAAATGTTACAGAAGCTTTCACGCTCAGAAAAGGTGGAAGAAAGAAGCATAGGAAATGGTAATTCACAGTTTCTCACTGAAGTGAAATGATAGGGCAGCACATTTAAAACAAAAAGCAACTGTTCCATACCACCTGTAATTGAAGAGTGGCCTTCATCACCATGGGACACACAGGTAAGCCTACCTCCATTACGCGAGGTGAAGGCCACCACTTGCTCCTCTGGCTTCTGTTCACTTTGCTTCCCACGTCCTGAGGGAATTCCATTTGCACCAGCTCTAGGTAGCCGCACTACATTTGGCATGACCTTGCACCTTTGCTCATCATCTCTTCTGGTCCCAGGGCCACCTCTGGCTTTTCCTGCACTCCTATGGGTCAAGTCTGAGAAATGCTGAACAGAAATGCTGAACTGCAAAGATGTTTACAATGCCAAAGGCAAAGCAACGCTTGCCTTGTGGATAAATAGGAATTTTCAGCCTCCGGGCCTCTGAATTAAAGTGCACGGCCTCAAAAGGCTCTAAGTCTTGTTAGTGGAAAAATTCTCCACAAAAGCTCTCTGAAGAAAAATGTTTTGAGAGCCTTGCAGCATGAAGAAGGGAAAGAGAAATTCCAGCCAGCCTGGTCTTGTAAAAGGATTAATCCTTCTTTATAAATTAGGCTCTTTGTACCTATGAAACATGTTTGATCAGATTCCAAACCATGGCAGTGATTTGTGCCAACTGGGAAGCCAAAGAGTAGAAGAATGTCTGTTATTTAAATATTTTACTAACGCTTCATCTGGGTTAATATTATATTAGCAGCAAATATTCCTGTTAAAAGGTCTGAAACTACTGCTCACCTTGGTGAGAGCCAGACAAGGGGTGGCTCTGCATCAAGGTAACACAACCATCAGGTCCATAGGATGGAGAGGTTTGCAACGCTGTGTTTAAAAGTTGTTCAAGGCTAGTTCTGACAAAATGGTTGCTGGTGGGAAAGGCAGGTCCATCATGTGTCCTCCTGAATTCACCAGCAAATGTTTCATTATAAAGGGTTATTGGTCTCCTTCTGTGGGGACCACAAGCACAGAGAGCTCTGGCAAGAGGCACATCACCAGGTCTCTGATGAGATGAGCCACAGACAAAGTGGGGCAACCAGCAAGTCCCTTGACCACAGAGAGCATGGATGAGTATCATTATTTGGGAAGATTCTGCTTCTTTTTTTTTTGTGGCTCAAGTCTGTCAAGCTGCAGCCAAACTTCCAGTTATTGTCTTGGATGGACTATGCATCCAGAATGTGGTGAAACATGTCAGTGCCAGCTCGGTATTGCCTATATAACCACCAAGTTGTTGCAATATGTGCAACTGC